GATTTGGTTACAAAATGAACTTCCTGCGTTGCATTTTGTCTTGAAGCCCTTACCTGGGTCATCGCATGTAGTAGTTACTCCTGTGTGAAGTGGAATGCCCGTCATCAGGCGAAATCAGTGGCGGTCACTCTCAAATATTCGCCTATTCTTGATAGTAGCCCACAGGTTGAGATCTCGTGGCTCAACCGATAGGACGTCACCTCTACGACGAATTGAACCGAGGCTCAACTCAGAGCTCTTTCTACTGTTGACTTTGGTGACAGAAGATAAACCAGGGAGGGGAATTCTGGTCTTCCATTATCTTTGCCTATTAACTACGTCTGAGAGTGGGGGATTTTGCGTCGGTAAAGTTAGAGCAATAAGTCTGCCCGTCGCATTTAGGGGAATTATGAACGCAGCCCGTTTGTTTCGTGTACTGAGTGCCTACACCCTCGCCCGAATGATCAACACACACAACCACTTGTACGAACTTCCATAAGACGCATCTATCTTATTTGTGTTCATTTACTGTGTGTCACGTGGTGGTTTTAAGGTCGTTGAGATCAGTGCATGTTTCTGATATTCAACCTTGTTTGTGGCGTCTGTTTACCTTAGACGATAGAGGCATAAACTTCCACTTCTCTGCCTTTACACTCTGTGTTATAATAGGCTGTTTAACTGTCAAACCAAAGTTGGACTTAAAACCAAATTCTCTGAGTTCGCTCAAGCTTGGTTTTTCTGCACTTTTATGGTTTCTTGCTACTGAAAAAGGTCAATTCAGGCAAACCTACCTTGATTTCAGGTGAGCTGAAAAACCCTTCGCGATCAATACCGAGAGGCACACTGTCCGCAGTCTCGACGACGCTCTCAATTTACGTAATTCTGTCCATTCTCACGGCTGCATCATGTAGCAGGTAAGCCATACTTGATCGACTGAATTTTTTGTGTGTGGGCATTTCTTCGCCTAGTTTCCCAACTCTTCCGAGATGACATTGTACTATCAGTACTCTAGAGAGTTCTGCCCGTCTAAAGGTCAATGGTTCACTGGTTAATAGAGTGCACTTGCGGCATAGGATGACGGTTCAATTTAGGCTCCACTACAGTTTACTTAAACAACCAAATATTTGCGCGCGATAATTACAATGGGAAGTACAACCAATAGGAAACATGAAGACCAAGTATTGCCCAGTAGTGCCCAATTGAACACAATGAACTCTATATCATATCGTTATCATCTATATAGAGAGGATATAGAGCTGCTATTGCATTCACATACAGTACGCGCCACAATTCTTGCAACATGCCGACTTATGCGAAAGCTAATCGGCATTGACTCAGGTTGCGACACTGATTATCGTGTAGTCTATTCTGAAGCCATTTCTGGCACGATAGGATGCCGGTTTTTTTTACCGAACTTCTTCCTGACCGCTAACACAACGTATGTACTGTAAAAAGTAACTACTTAAATAGTATGCGTTTTCCTCATTGATTTTCACTGCATTTATAAATTCAAATATATATTATAGAAAAAATGCACGAAAAAATTATTTCTTGTACTCGTTTGGTAGCAAATTACG